CCGGCGTCCCTGGCGCTCACCTGGAACTCCAGCAGCTTCAGCTCCTCATAGTCCAGAGACTGCAAGGCATAGAGCCTGCCACTCTCTGAGTGCACTGAGACATAGCTGGCCAGTGGCCAGAGCTTCTCGTCCATCCAGTAGCTGAGCAGGGCATTCTCCCCTGCATCTGGGTCCGAGGCCGACACTGTGAAGATGAGGGTGCCAGGTGGGTTGTTCTCCTTCACAAAGACCACATAGGAGGGCTGGGAGAAGGCTGGGGCATTGTCATTGACATCACCAAGGGGCACCACCAGCTCACTGGTGGCCGAGAGCGATGGGGCCCCGTGGTCCTGGGCTATCACACGGAGCTTGAACTCCGCCACCTTCTCCCGGTCCAGCGGCTCAGCCACCACCAGAGAGTAGTAATTCTTGAAGGTGGACTGTAGCTTGAAGGGGAGGCCAAGGGGCCACAGGGAGCAGCTGACCTGCCCGTTGGCCCCAGCATCCTTGTCAGAGACGCTGATCAACGCCACCACTGTCCCTGGTGGGGAGTCCTCTGGGACCGGCACGGCGATCGATTTCAGCGACATCTCTGGGCCATTGTCATTTACATCCAGCACTTCAATGAGAACCTTGCAATGGCCAGACAAGGGGTATGGGCCTTTGTCTGTTGCTTCAATTTGGATATCATATGCCGCACTCTCTTCAAAATCCAGGTTCCCTTTCACCTTAATTTCTCCGTTGTTAGGATCAATACTAAACTTTTCCTTTACATTTGGAGCAACCAAGTGGCTAAAGGAATAGGATACATCCTTATTAATTCCATCATCCTGATCTCTTGCTTCCAATTTAATGACTAATTCCCCAATTGTGGCAGTTTCCAATAATGAGGCTTTGTAAACAGACTGGTTAAATGTTGGCGCGTTGTCGTTGACGTCCAGCACCGAGACCACCAGCAGAACCGAGCCGGTGAGCGCAGGCTGCCCACTGTCCATTGCTGAAAGCACCAGCTGGTGCTCTGGAGATGCTTCTCGATCCAGTGGTGCATTCAGTGTCAGAACCAAAGACTTGCTGTGCCCGTCATTCATGATTTCTTCCACAGAGAAATATTCACTGGGGCTGAGCTTGTAGGTTATGTGACCATTGGGACCTATGTCTGCATCAGAAGCTTCTTCTATTGGAAAATGGGAGCCCTGGACTCTCGATTCCAAGATGGCTAAATTCTGCTGCCCAACAGAAAAGGCAGGGGCGTTGTCATTGATGTCTGCAATCTCCACTTCTACATGAAAGACCCTGAGAGGCTTATCCACAATCACCTCCAGGTGGATGGTGCAGAGGGGGCTTCTGCCACACAGCTCCTCCCTGTCTATCCGAGAATTCACAAACAAAATCCCGTTCTGCTCATTTACCTTGAAGTAGTCCGCATCCTCTTGGGATTCCATCCGGAACATCCGGGGGAAGAGCTCCCTCACCTCCAGCCCCAGGTCCTGGGCGACGCGGCCCACAAAGGCGCCGTGCTGGGACTCCTCCGGCACAGAATAGCGGAGCTGGCCGCTCCCCAGTCCCCAGGCTGCGTGGAGCAGAGCCAGCTGCAGCAGCTGCCGCCTCCCCATGGAGGAGTCTTCCCAAGCAAGAACCATCTCAGAAATAGCTCGTATTTGATTTATTTAGCTGCATATTTTGGCAAAATAAATGTTTAAAAGGGGCTCAGCCTGCCACTATCCTTTTGGTCGGGCAGCTGCAAGAATTAAATGGTCTCTTTTGACAAAGCAAAGGAAGAGCCTTTTGTCTCCGGTTTATTCTGAGCTCGATATTTAAGTGGAGAGCGACATCATGTGACGAGATGAGTAAATACAGGTATTTTCTATATAGGTTGTGGTGGGGATGGAGACTGAGACACCTGCTGACTTCATTTTTTTCACCCAGTGGAGAAGAAACCATATGTTAATGTGTGATAGTGCAGGTATCTTTTTCCTTTGAAAGATACCTTTAATATGCTCAACATGTATATTTTTGTGTGCTGGTTGCTGTGATCATTTCATGTTTGCTACACTTTTGAAAGTTTCCATCTTTTTAAGGTAACTGTTACATTAAATTGTATTTCGTTATTGCTTCAAACTTCCTTGGGGAACTTTCTATCTGTTGTTGTTTCAGAATGTCCTTCTGTGTTGAGGACAGGATGAAATTCAGGCATTGAGGGCATCCCTCTAGCACTGTTTTCCCCTCTGATTGTTGGGTTCTCAAGCAAACCACAAGAATCATTAATCGAGCAGAAAACTAAGAACTGCAAATAAGGAATCAGGGAGCAACCTTGGCATCGTGTGATTCATGAGCGAGTAAGAGTGGAGGGAGCAATTAGGGATAAATAAGAGAAAAGCTCTAGGAAAATGGTGGCTTATTTTTCCTTCATTCATTTCTTCTGTTTCCATCAGCTTCTGAATATGGAGAGGCTTCACCAATCAATGTATGCACCTTGAGATGCTTCCAAGGGTGGTTCTTAGAGTGATGCATCTATGTTTATGTGAATATATTGTCCAGGTAAGGAAGGCGCAAACAAATAGGTTCCTTGTGACCTAGGACTTCCTCCTTTTTCAGAATTTCTTTCAGTCAATAATAAAGACATCTGAATATGTAAAACTGTCTGGGACTGGGAGAATTCCTCCAAAAGTCAGGAATTTTAAGACTTCCAGAAAATGTGAAAGTGGAATTTTCAGCATTCACATATGAATTTCAATATTCACCAACTTGAACACGTGAATGTTAATTCCAAATTAATTTTCATGCACATCCAAATGTATAGATGTGGAATGTAGATACTTTCTAGAGCACTGAAGACCAAGAACTACTCTGCTCAATAAGTAGAGGACTCTCCCTCACACAGAGACCCAACTCTTAGTCTCTCTGGACTCTTTAAGGTGGCCAAATTCCAGTGCCACCGCGGCAGAAGACCCCTGGCAAAATGCCCCCCTTCATGCTTAGAATCAAATACTGTTTCAGAAAAGAGATGAAGCAGAAGAGAAAAAATCTGGTAATAAATCAGCAGAATGAATCAAGAATAAATCCTGGAAAGTTTGGAAAATCATAACACTACCTCCTCCCACAGCTTAACTTTCTGTTGCTGCATGTAGCCACTCTTGACGGGAATCAAAGAGCAACAGAAGTGGAAGGGGCAAGAAGGCTGTCAGGTCCAGTGCCCCGGCAGGGCAGGATTCCAGGTGAAGCCCTCCTGGGGAGACGAGTGTCCACCTGTGTCTAGAACGCCTCCAGTGTGGGATCACCCACCACCACCGGCATGAATGGCTCCCTTGCCACACCGCTCCAACAGTCAGGATCCTTTTCCTGATGTTCAGCTAGCATCTGGCTTCCTGTAACCTGAGCCTGTTATTTTATGTCAACTGTATGTAGTTGATTCACCTCATTTTTAGCATTCCTCTTTTTCTGCCTTTATCTTTCCCTGGTATGATGGCCTTCTCCAGGGAGTTTTGCCTTTTCATGATGTGTCCAAAGTGTGACCGCCTCAGTTTTGTCATTTTGCTTCCAGGGAAAGCTCTGGCTTGGTTTGATGAGGAGCTCCTTGTTTGTCCCCGTCAGGCCAGGAT